GTGGGGCTATCTGAAATCTCTAACGTCGAAAGACAATGGCTCAACTGAAGAACTATATTTAAGCTGCTATGGTCAACATAACCATTGATATGCTGCTAAAAGCGGAAAGAAAAACTTCAAAACTCGACTGTCTCAAAGCATCGACCAGAACTGAGGCCACCTTAATGACATTATTTTTAAACCGTGATAATATAAAAAAAAAAAAAAAAAAAAAAAAAAAATCATTTTAAGGGTCTCTCTAACCTTTAACCGTGATAATATAAAAAAAAAAAAAAATCATTTTAAGGGTCTCTCTATAACTTGGAATGTCGCCTATAATATTTGTGTTACTCATTTTTAAAATAAGGCAATTTCCCTGCCGCACCTGTATTATAATACTTAACATTTCCATCATTCCCTGATGGATCGGTTAACAAACAAATTAAAGTAATTCTAGTCTGATTTCTCCGTTTAAATGGCATTCGGTGATATTATCTAGTGATTTACTGGTATGCAACATTCTTTAATTTATAATTTTATCAATTTAATCTTACTCATATGCCGAAAGAATGGTAACACAAATAATTTATAAATTGTAAGTTTTTAAATACTAAAAACAGTCTGATTAAATTTTATTACTTTACAATCATTATCTAATATTCACCAAAATATACATTAAACTAGAAACATGTATTTTATTTTTGTTACGTACAAATAAATGAAAACCTTTCACTCTTCAGTTTATGAAAGGCCAAAAGAGTATAATCAGCAGCTTTGAAACGTGATACTTCAGTAACTTTTTATATGGAAATCAAACCCCCTTACTTTTTTTTTTAAAATAAAGAGTATAAAATTTTCCTGAATATATGATGTAAGTAAGAGATTAAGAGATGGACGAATGTATAAAAAGCTAGATCTCGTAATTTTTACAAAATTGATTTTTGAAAATTCAAAAGTGGCAAAATATTAAAACTAGCATCCTTTGAAGCATTTTTGTAATTGGAATTATAAGCTGGCTGTTAAAATAAAGGCCAGGTAAGGACTTATATGGACACGGTGCACACATCAGCTCAACTGATTCATGGGCATTCCCTGGGTCAAGCAGGTCCCTTATCTTGGGGTGATCCTCAGTAAATCTCTTACATGGAACCCACACGTTACACATATTCTCTGGAAGTTTCGAGCTAGTAAAGCTTCACTCTTCCCCTTAATTGCTCGAAACAGTGTTCTATCTATTGATAATAAGTTGCTCATTTACAAAACCATGTTGCGTCCAATTCTTAGTTATGCATGCCCCGTCTGGGCATACTCGTGCAAAAGTTTGAGAAGGCAGTTACAAGCTGCCCAAAACGGGGTATTGCGTATGATATGTAATGCCCCCTGGTACATTCGGAATAGCCAAATTCGTAAAGAGTTAAGAATAGAGGATCTTTTTGATTTTTTTTGCCGCCTATCTAGGGCATTTTATGATAAACAGGAACTTCTGGACAATCCTGTGGTTGTTAACTATTGCTATGATACTAGGGACCCCAATTTCAGTAAACGCCCAAGGGCGATCCTAAATGTTAGTAATGTGTAATTTTGTATATGTGTTATGCAAATTGTTGCTCAGATTCTTTATTGTATATTGTTATTTTTTCTTGCTTTTTGTTTTTACTAGTGGCACTAAGGCGTGCACTTAGTATTTTGTTTCTCTTGTGTGTACATGTATTCTTCTGTGAAATAGTTGTTAAAAAAATAGTTAATTATGTATGGATTAGTAATTAGGTACTTAAGGAAAAAAATTTGTATTTAACTCTTAGCAATTACGAATTTAAACTCTTGCTCATTTAATTATTTAGCACATTCAGTTATATTTCTCATAATTCGAAAATTTTATCATGTTATTCGATGAGGGGTAGGGCTATGGCGCCCAGGCACCCTGGTGGTTAAGCACCGCAGTTCAACATCTGTATATTTCACTGGGTGTAATACCCAGACTATTATTTAGTTTTATAGTTATTAAACAAATATCTTTCTAAAATACATTTTTGATTTAATAATTTCTTACATAAAAATCTCCTTTGTTATATTATTTACTTAAAATAATAAACCATTCCATCTCCCCTTTATTAAATTGCTTCATCAAGTGTTACCAAACTGTATAAGTGGATCTAAACTTCTAAACTTCCACTTTGCCCTCCCCCTCTGAAATTTCGCATGTATGCCACAAATTGAAAACTACGATTAAGGCTATTTATTGGGGGGTGTATTGTTTTAAATAATTAATGTAACACATTTAGTTGTATTTCCAACTGTCCATACATGAAAGCCTGTTTACGATACCAGAACTCTTGAGCCCATGAAATGTGCAAGAATTTAATAGCTCCAAAGCTTTTAAATGAAGCAGCTGAAGAAATATTTCTTTCTTGAAAGTTTGAATGACATTATCGACTATCCATTTGTTTTATGAAATAAATGCATAGATAATAAATTTTATCTCAAAAAGAGTATGTGTCTTTTCTTACATTTAGCATAACCATCAAGCTCGAATGTGTTTTGTGGGCTCAAAATTTTCCATGTATAAACGGGTCTTTACAGCGAAATTTTCCACAGGCCTCATGGTTCCATATGATACTATTGCTTTGTGGGATGATTGTCTTACAGAATATGACTATTGGTGATGATCAATATAGATATTTAGTCACGTTCTCAGAAATATTTGTTATTTTTACAAGTGATTGCATATAGGTAGCGGCCACTACAAGTTCACTCTCTCGGTTAATGAAATATAAACTTTTTTATGCTGTTGTACTAGTAAACAAAGTTCAGTTACAGTTGTTATAAGTTTGAAAGAAATGTAATTATTCTGAAAATGGGAAATATATCAATTTGTTTCACTCCATTTCAGTTTTACACCCACACTATTACTTAATTTTATAGTTATTAAATGTCTTTCCAAATACAGTTTTGATTGAAAAATTTCATATAAATAAGTTTCCTTTGTTAAATTAGTTAGTTACTTGCAATAAGAAAACATTCCACCTCCCCTTTTTAAAACTTTACCAATTATACCTTTAATGTTGATACATGTTTAATTTCTTTTTATGGGCATTGCGAGTTCCCTGTAATCTCTATCAGATTCCATAAACTCATCTCCATAACAGAAATAACAAACTTCATGTTGATTATCCACAAAATCAGTAACAGTTAACAGAATTTGGGACATATCCTGATGCAAGACATTATCCATCTGATATCTTGAGTCTAATAGCAAGTTAAAAGATCTCTTACTTTTAATTAATCTTATTTGTAATGAAGCTTCAATGCCAAAACACTTGTGGAACTTTTTAATCCTTTTAAGATTCTATAAAAACTTTAGGGAAAATCCTCATTGTTTTATATTGTAATTGCAATAGCATAAAAAAACAACATACAATATTCATATGACCAAATTACTTACAGCTTGGCTGTTTCAAAACTGAATGCCACTTTTCATGACAGGCAAGTGTATTGCAAAGCGGTGCAGTTGTTAAATTTTAATAAATATTCAGGTAAACAAAATAAAACATTCATATAGTGGCCTTTTGAAAAACAGCATTCATTTAAAAATAATTTGCTTAAAATTATATTTTCATAATTAAATCAAATGTCATTCATTTTGACAAAAATGCAAGCATTCCAGGAAGAAGAGGTAACTGCACTATCAGTTCAAATCACGCTAATTAACTATACTAAATTTATATAATATTATTTTGCCTCTATATTTCATGAGCATTTTTAAGAATTTATATTTTATTAACATAATTATTACAACATAGCAGCAATTTAAATTCTAAGTTTCTGGCTTTATATTAACAATTTTTGGTACTTTTCTGTTTTTCCGGTACAGGTGCGCCAATAATGGTACAACTGATGCCAAATGGAATATCCTCGACAATAACCTTTTATGCCTCATTTTCAAAACAAGTCGCAGCTAATTCTTATCAGATTGATTGGTTCTTTCAATACTGGCATACAATTACATCAATATTTACCAGATAGTACAATTTTATTCCCTAGGACCATTCACAGTAATTAAGTCAATTAGAATGCAATCACACCGCGCACCTGATGGTGAAAATATAGAAAACGCAAAGTCAAGGGTTAAATTCATCAATTCTAATGAGAATACATTAGCGAAGTAAAGCACTGCAGTTTTACAATAATATTTTAATAAGCTATTTGTACAAATTGAAATAATTCTTGCATTTAAACTTGTATTCCAAATTAAGATTTAACTTGAAATCAAAGTAAATAATTAAATTTTTGTAGCGTAGTTTACGTGAGATGAGATCACTTGGGGTCATGTGATATGAACCAGCGACTCAGCTTGTTGAACCATGAAACCTTCACAATCCTTTACAATCGAAAATAAACACAATTTAATCAGTGTGTTTAATAAATATTTATAAACAAAAAAGTTACAAGCAGAATATATTTCTGTAACATTCTTGATACATCATTAATTGCATCATCATTGCTACAATAATAAATTCTTAAATTAATGTCTTTTTATAAAATTTTAAACGATATAAAAATGTTTATGCCTTCAAAATAAAAAATTCTTAGAACTAACATTTGTTAACATTTTTATGTTAACAAATGTTAACATTAAAAATGTAAAATACTTTCTCAGGACTTAGTCACACATTTTTAATAAGCCAATAATAACACTAATGTTAGTTTGCAAATTTATAAATAAATATATACTGTATTCAAAATTATTTCAGTAAACACCAGGAGTGATTGCTTGTAAACAACAATCCAGATTTGTAATTTAAGGGGGCACAAGACCTTTAAATCTTCCAAAAAAAAAAAAAAAAAAAAAATTCAGATTTTTACATTTTATGAATATATAAACATTTCTGAACAAAATGCAAAAAACCGCGTTGTAAAATTCGCATTATTTCTTGAGTTATGAAAGTTTGTATCGTATAGTAAATCAGCGACGCTCGTTTAAAGGAACAAATATGGTGGTTGTTTACATTTTGGTTACTCTGTATACAAGCTCATATTTTTATTATTATGCAAAGAAGTATTTAATACTGTTTTTTTTTTTTTTTTTTTTTTTTTTTTTAAATTTCCTTTTCGTGTAGGGAAAGAAGGATGGCAACTACTCAACTTCATTGCTGGTAGTTTGTTTACATGATATCTTATTACCACGCTGCTAAATCTAACCTTGTTTGAGTGTTTCTATTTCGGTCTTTCATACCAAGTTTGTTTTACTGAATAAACGTTTATGTAAAGATATTTGTTTTGAAATTTAAAAATGAATAATAATATCAAAAGAGCTTCCGGTCAAAGACCAAAGAAAAGGAAAAGGAATAATTTTTGTGGAACTCGGTACACAAGAATTAATGATAAAGATGCAAATGTCTCTGCATCAGCAAAAAAACTTCTAGATCATTTAGTAGTATAAGGTGACAGCAAATTTGAAGGGTATGCAATCATTGATAAAAGTTTATTATTTTCTGGATTAGAAGAATACTTATGCTGTCATATTTGCCATAATAAAATTAGTATTACTTCTGAAGTAGTATATGGTTTAACCATAAAAATAAATACTTCATGCTGCTCTTGTGGAGTACTAACATCTATAAGAAATTCCAAGCTTGTAGGTGAAAAACAAATTGCTTCTGATTTAAACAGAAGATTTACTTTAGCAATGAGGTATATTGAAAATGGATTGACAGAATCCAGAATATTTTGTGGAATTATGGATCTACCACCACCTGTAGCACAGAAGTCATATGCATGCTGCTACATGTAATATTGCGGAAAATAGTATGAAGATAGCAGCTGATGAAGAAATAAAAATGACTGGTTCTTCAGATTTGACCATTAGCGGAGATGGCACATGGAAAACCAGAGGACATTCTTCACATTTCGGTGTAACTTCCATTATTGGTGGTGAAACGGCTAAAGTTATTGATCGTTATGTTTCAAGTTCCTACTGCAAAGGTTGTGAGACAGGAAAAAATATATCCAAGGAAAGCTATTTGAAATGGAAAATAGAACATAACAAAGTATGCAGTAAGAATCATTTAGGTTCATCTGCAAAAATGGAAGTGAATGGTATGTTAAATATGTTTTTGCGACCCGAAGAAAAGTATAATGTTCATTATGTTAATTATATAGGTGATGGAGATTGTAAAACTTTCTTAGGCTTTACGAAGGATAACCCCTATAATGTTCCGATTTCGAAGATAGAATGTGTAGGCCACATTCAAAAACGAATGGGTGCCCGTTTGAGGAAAGTAAAACAGGAATTCCGTGGCAAGAAACTGTATGACAAGAAACCTCTTAGCGATAAAGGTCGACTTACGGATGTGCTGATAGATCAAATTACATCATATTATGGAAATACCATTAAGAAGCATTCTGACAATTACCATGATAAAACACAAAAATTCAGTTCCTATAGCAGTTATGGATGCTATAAAACCTGTATTTAAAGATTTGTCCCACCCAGATTTGCTTTGGTGGTCGAACACAAAATGTGAACAAGTCACTAAATTCATTGATCTCGACGTTTTATCCGAAAACAACAAACAATAGTAGGAAAATTGTAGAAATTGTAATTTTCAAAATATTTTTCAGGACTCATTTTACATATCACAGTGCTATTTTCCCCCTTTCTATAAAATCTTTATGGGGAAAAGAACTTACTCATGCAACTTTCTTCATAAAAGATCCAAGCAAAATTTAGATTCACATGTTTAAAGCTGAAATGTTTAACCTGAAAGTCTTAATTGACTCAAAATTGCAGCTATGGCAATAGTCATATGATTAATTGCTCAAGAGTTATAGTCACATATTCTTCCCCCTGAAAAGTCTGTATTATACAGAATGCTAAGCATTCTATATATTGCCTATAAAATCTATACATTGCATGTTTTTCATACCATGTCAGAAATCTACATTCATACATATAAACATAAATATTGTTCCTTAAATGAATACTAAGTTTCATCACAATGGAAAAGATGCAGTAAATTACACTTGCTTTGAACGTATTTTATAAACTTTACACACTTATTTTAAGAAGGAAAGTATTTTATTTAAAACACAAACAGTTATATGCCACGGTATGTCTTAACAAACAAGATTTTGTTCACATTATCTGGTTGTAAGGGTAGACGAGGACAGTTCACTAACCAGTTATTGCTCCAAAATGTCTCATTATCTTGAAAACAACTAGCAGGACATGAAAGAAGCCAAAAAGCAATTTTGCTAAGATTTGGATACAAATGTGAATGCTGTGCCCAATATTTCAAGACAGAAAACTTATTCTGCTGTCTTAAATCTAAATTTACAAGTTGGAATGGTTCAGCACAATACTTATCAACTTCTTCAAGAGCTGCTTTTTCACATTTAGTAGCATCAAAACTGCTCACAGCATATAAATCAGAGAAACGATCAGACTCACAGTGTGATTTTCTGTTTTCAGCATAATCTTCTACATTAGGAGATTCCATGCATTCTTTTACAAGACATTTGATTCTAATATTAGCTTCCCTATGATCAGTCTGAGGACCAAAAACCATCTTTTTGAAACGTGGATCTAAGAAAGTAGCCATACGATGATATATATTTATAATTTTTATTAACTGTTCAATCATTTCCGTATTGATTAGACTTTTAAGCTGCTTTAAAACAGCTGCATCTTTTTGAGATGCAGTGCAGTGTTTCTGAAGCTTGGCAACCCAAGGAATAACTAGATTCAGTGTTGGCTCAGAGGTGTTTGATAACTGAATTATTGCATCTTCAAACAACTTAAAAAACTCAACAACTGCTGTTATTGTTGCCTTTTCTACAGAAAGCAAATGAGTAGAATTAGTTTCATTCAAAATATTAAGAATATTTTCATACTGATCTTCAATTGAACGGAATAAGGAAAGAATAGATGTCCATTTTTCATCATGACATTTTACAAGACTTTCCGGAAGCTGATACTGTTCAGATACCTGGTCAAAATATTCACCTATATCCACACAATTACTTAGCAAATTTGTAAAGTCTGGAAGCTCACTGTTTGTTGCTGTTGCACCTTTAGTGGAAACTACTTGAAGAATATTTGTTAAACTCTGAACACAACATTTTACACATTGTTCATCTCTAAATGCAGAAACTAAATTAGATTCATTATCAATTGTCATTAAATATTTAAAGGGGACTATTTGCTGATCAGCCAAAAATTTAGTGAACCACTCTCTCACATCATCTGCAGTCTTTGTTTCAAAATCAAATTCATCAGTACGGACAATAACTGACTTCATCTGTCCTTCAACATTTGCAAAATTACAAAATATACTTATAAATGGAGATTTTACTTGTTCATCAAGCCATAAATTTATACTATATGTAGCACCATAGGAATATTGGAATTCAGTATAAAATGCATTTACTGCTGATTCATATAAACCATTTAATATGAAGCTGGTTAAAGTAGGGGTTGCACAAAGAAGACTGTCGATATTTACATCTCCATATATTGCTCCTACTGTAATGCACATTTGTAATATTTTATGAAATTCTGAGTCCTTAATTAAATCAAATGAACTTTCAGTACTCAGTGCGAAGTTCATTAACTTTTCATGTGCATGAATTGCATCTCCATCATTGAATACTTCAGGTTGTTTTGGGCATTTTGTGTTTGGAAAGAATATTATATTTGGTGTAGTTCTTTTTTTCCTTTCCTTTGGACGTGAACACGTTCTGATATGATAACGAAGTGTAGATGTTGATTTTTGAGAATCATGAATGAACAAAGCTAAGCACTTGAAACAACCAACAAAAACTTTAGAAAGCACCATTTGTTCATCACCACATCTTCTTATGTAATATGGTATCTTAAGTTTTTTGGCTTCACTTCGACTAATAAGTAATTTTATGTCACCAAACCAATTCCAGACATCACTCTTAAATCTTCTATTGCCCTTCATATTCATGAAAGATTTTCGTGTGACAACAGCTTTTTGTTTCTGAAAAAGCTGCTCAATAACTTCTTTTTGTTTCCGAGGGTCAGTTCTAAATCTTTTAACTTTAGAATTTGAGACTTCTTGTATAGGAAGTTTTTCACCTTCAACTCTTTCTTGAGTTTCATCATCCATCTTATCATCAGATACAAAAATACTAAAAAGAAAAAAATCTTTAAAATATAAGGAAAAAAAAAATGTTTTTTGAGCTAATCATATTTTGAATTAACAAATAACAAATAAATAAGGAAAATAGCTTAAAATAGCTTTAATTTTTTTTTTCACTACCTTAAAGAATCTGTAAACGAAAATAAAAAGGTGATATGAACTTGGCAATACTAACAATTTAGATGTAATTTTTAAAGCAAAAGAAGTTCTAACACCCTATTACTTTTCAAATATTTGAAATCACTGGAAATATTATAACATTACATTAAATCGGAAGTTCTTTTAGGTAAGATGTGCTAATACAGTCAAAAGTCGTTAATCCGGACTCGTCGGGACTTCGGCGATTCCGGATTATAGATCATCAGTTTAAATCTCGTAAGATGGCATGCAGAAATTCCAAAATTAAAAATATGAAACCGTAATTTATGAAATAAAGAACAATTATGATCTAAAGGGTATCAAAATTTGCAAAAAGAAAAAGCTTAATATTTATTGTTTACTTTATTAAACATTTCTTTCAATGTAAGTTGTTTAAGTTTTGCTTCGTTTTCATGTGATAATACTTTCTCTTAATTCTATTAAACAGACATAATTTCTTGTTCAGTTACAAAGTTCCGCCGTTCAAGTCCTATAATTGCTGTGTCAAGAACACCGACTAATTTGTCCAATCGAAATTTTTTTGTTTTCAATAACCTCTGTCACTTTTTTTCGCTATCGGAAGCGAATTATAATGACGAGGAACTTGTTTTAAATCATATCAAGACGGAGCATATCGAGAGATGAAATACTACATTTGGTAAGGAATTATAAGCCAAATAAAATAAAAACATCTGCGCTGAAGATAAGGATAGTGCTGACAAATCAACTTCCAATTCATTTACGCGCCGCCGCCGAGCAGCGTGAAAATGATAAACAGATTTCGGATTTCAAAACATACTTTCGCTTTAGATCCTTTACATATTAACAAATATATATCGGAAATTCTATTGATATAATCGAAAGTTTAAGCTTACTTTTATAAAATTGCTCTTACAGTCTGCAAAAAATAATAAGCCGGATGCAATTCGAAAATTAAGGAACAACGCAATCATCAACATTAACTGAAATAGATAATTATTTAGCTTATACGTCCATTATACATAAAATGCACGCACGCGAAAACGTATTCTGCGCTTGCGCACACGCATATGCGCAAGCCGTAAAAGGTCTTACGCGCACGCGTGCAAACGCCTAATGCGCATGTATCAACGCGGCGCATGCGCAGAAAGTTTTTAGTTTTGATGTCCGGATTATAAATCATTCCGAATTATGGGTGTCCGAATTAACGACTTTTGACTGTACTAGGAAATTTTTAAATTCATAATATTTGCTTTTCTTGACAATTTTGGATATATACTTTGATTCTGTTCTTCACCCTTACTTCTAGATTTTCAACTGCCTAATTTAATGCTATTTTTTTTTATTTACTTCTTTCATAATCATCCATAAAATACACAAAATTTTACTTAAACTTGTTATTTAAACATATTGTTATGGATTTGGTATTTAAATAGCTAATGTTAGTTAAATAATAAATTAAATGGTTTTATTTCCCACGCAACGCAGCGCGTGACGAATATTAAAAGAAACCTAAGACGGAAAATTAAAAATACAAGAGCATGTGCATTTAACATTTAATAAATAAATATCTCTTTTTGATTTCGAGAAAGTTCCAGAAAGTTCTCGTGCGCGATTTAAAAATCTTATGAAAATTGAACGTTTGAATAGTTAAAAGATAACTACTGTGAGATATTGTAATACTGCACGATAATTTGAGGAAATTTAAGCATATTTGTTGTGATAATAATAAATTTTCTTAATTTTTCATCAGACTTGTGCATTCATTTCGTAACGAACCCGTACGCACGCAACAATTTTTGGTGTCAGGAGTGGGATTTTGAATGCCAATTACAAGAGCGATGGAAGAACAATTCAGGCAAATGATGATTGCATTTGCTGCTTTCCAAGAAAAGATGGAAGGGGCCGTTGACTCCGTTAAAGAGGATATGAAATTGGGCCAAGAAACCATTAATGAAAAGATGGAAACGGTTCAGGAATCTTTTAAAGGCGAGATGAAATCTGTTAAAGAGGAAATGAAAAGAGAAATCAGCTGCATAATAGAAAACAAATCCGAAGCTATGAGAGACAGAATTGACACGGTTGAAAATAAAGTTGGACAAATCGAAGAAAGAGTTTTATTTGTAAAAGAACAAATAGAGGAGAGAGTTTCTGCCGTAGAACAGCATATTGATAACAGGGTTTCAGCCATTGCGAAAGAAGTTGATACTTTAAAGAAGATCATAGCAACAGCAGGTAACAATTCGGATGGTTTCAAAGTTTTACCTTTGCCTGCTCATCCCTCTTTGAAGCTATCCACTTATGATGGGAAGACCTCCTGGCAAGTGTATAAGACTCACTTTTCTATAGTTGCGGATGCGTATGGATGTAATTCCCAAGCTAAGGCCTGCCATCTCGCCGCTTCTCTGAGAGCAGACGCAGTGGATATCCTGCCGACTCTTCCCAAAAACCAGAGATTAGACTTCAAAGCTCTATCCGGCACGTTGGAGCTGCGCTTCGGAGAGAAATGTTTAAAAGACTACAGCAGGCTTTAATTAGAATCCTGCCAACAGAAGCCCAACAAAACACTTCAGGAGCTCGCCACGGATGTAGAAAAGCTCCCATCTCGCTTTTTCGGAGTGCCCGACAGAAACAAGGCAAATCCTGTCCCTGCAATACTTCATCGACGGCATTCGGAATCCTGAAATACAGAAAGCTCTACAAATGGCGGATGTTAACGATCTTAAAAGCGCTTTAGTGTATGCTATGAAATCCGAGGCAAGCAACTCGTAGAGACCGCCATCCAGTCAGAGCTGCTCAAGTCCAAAAGACAGAGGACCAAATGGCTGCCCGTTTAGATGACTCAACTCAACGCCTTGAGATGGAATGTTGGTGACAAGAAACCGACCGTAAAGTGCTGGAATTGCGGTGCTGAAGGACACATACGATGAAACTGCAGAATACCAGGGTACGGATGTTAAGACCGTTCCTAGCAAGCAGAAGAGCTTCAGATTTCTGCAGTGAGAGGTGGCAGTAATGGACTTTTCATAATAGGACATATTAATGAATATTGTAATACTGCACGATAATTTAAGGAAATTTAAGCATATTCGTTGTGATAATAATAAATGTTCTTCATTTTTCATCGGACTTGTGCATTCATTTCGTAACGAACCCGTACGCACGCAACAATTTTTGGTGTCAGGAGTGGGATTTTGAATGCCAATTACAAGAGCGATGGAAGAACAGTTCAGGCAAATGATGATTGCATTGCAATGATACAGGCAAATGATAGTTCCCTGCAATATGACTATAGATACAAGAACTAACGTTACCATCATCCGAAAAGATTTGGCTCAACAACTGGAAAGCAAACTTATCTGCACGCCTCCCTGCATTACCCTACAGACTGTGTCCGGTCAGAAGATCGACATTGACGGGAAAATAAACATGAACATTACGTTTGGAAGTGCCGCCTACCATCACACGGCATATGTGGCGGATATTACAGATCCATGCATACTCGAACTAGACTTTTTAAGGAAGTATAATTTTTCCTTAAACTTTAAAAACAATAAACTGCATTCTGCCTCTGAGGACATAGCGTTATTCAGAATTAATGATGGAGTGAAATCTATCCACAAAAATTATAGCTCAAGACGATATCACGATACCCGCAAGAACTGAGTTTTTACTTCCTGAATCCATAGCCGAAAATAGAAATTTCCGCTATGGCATCATAGAATATCCCAATAACTGTAATAGCTTGAAAGGAGTACTAGTAGCCTCAACACTTGTCGACCTATCCAAAAACGGCTATCCCGGTGAGAGTTGCCAATGTAACTGAGAAAGTGAGAGTTATTAAGAAAGGTGAAATGGTTGCAGCATGTACTCCAGTAACCAGCATTGAAAGAAAGAGTAACATCCCAGAATCCGTTTCCTCAGAGAGCATTACGTCGGAGTTACTGCAGAATGCGCAATTAAACGATGAAGAGAGAAATGCTGCCGATCGCATCATTAAAGATCTTCAAGTTGTTTTCGCCCACTCGTCTTCTGACATGGATTGAACCAGTTTGATACAACATAGAATTGATACTAGCGATCATACCCCGATAAAGCAACATCCAAGGCATCTACCAATTTCTAAACAGGAAGAGGTATGAACACTTTTAAAGGATATGGAAGAAGGCAATGTCATCGAGCCTTCAGCAAGTCCATGGGCATCTCCCATCATTCTTGTAGAAAGAAAGACGGCTGAACAAGATTTTGCGCTGACTATTGCCAGTTGAATGAGGTTACGAAGAAAGACAGTTACCCTCTTCCTAGAATTGACAACATTCTGGACACTCTTTCTGGAAGCAAGTGGTTCTCAACACTTGATCTAAAGAGTGGGTATTGGCAGGTAGAAATACATCCTGATGAACGAGAAAAGACGGCATTTACTACAGGACAAGGAATTTGGCAGTTCAAAGTGATGCCGTTTGGACTCTGCAATGTGACGGCTACATTCGAATGCCTCATGGAGATTGTTTTGAAAGGCCTTTCCTACGAAGCCTGCCTGATATACTTGGATGACATCATCATCGTCGGAAAGAATTTTGAAGAACATTTAAAAAATCTTAGGAAGGTGCTTCAGAAACTGAAAGAAGCCAATCTGAAGCTGAGTCCGGCTAAATGCAAATTGTTTCGAAAGGAAGTAACTTACTTGGGACATGTAATCTCTGCAGAAGGTGTTTGCATTGATCCTGAAAAGGTGTCAACCATTAAATCCTGGAAACGTCCCGAAAATGTCCATCAGCTGAGAAGCTTCCTAGGGCTTTGCACCTACTATAAGAGATTTGTGAAGGACTTTTCTTCCATCGCAGGACCCTTTCACAAGCTGACAGAGAACAA